CCAAAGTAGCTCATGGACATCAGGAATGTGAGAAGCCTCCAGGAAGGCTCGGCCCAGTCAGAAGCTCGACTAAGCTGATGCTCGAAAGGAGCATCAGTGCGTGCATGTGCAGTCCAAAAAGCCTGGACGTCAAAGTCCTCAGGAACAGTAATGGGAAGGTCAGCAAAGGATGAATGTGAGATCTCCTCCTGAGTATATAGGCCTAATCTCCACCCAAGCTCAGCGACAGTAAGAGTATGTCGCTGACCTAGAAGAGTGAAAATGAGGCGGCTGTCATGCCTCATAGCTATCCCCACATCATCTCACCACTCAAACCCCAGTAAAGGCCGCAATGAGCACAGAAACTCAATAGTGAGAGGCAAGCTAGCCTCAGCTCGTAAGGAAAGTAAACGCTCCCAACCAGATGGCCTAATCGAGGCCTCAACATCTGCCCAAACCCCGGCTGCAACAAGGGGTCTCTGATCAAGAATAACTGGGGCCTGTAAAGATCGGTGCTGGGCCCACGTAGTGAATCGCTCCTGTGCCTCCGGAGTAAGAAGTGGCAACTGAAGATCATGTGCCCTCCTGAATGGATCGATCGGTGCTCCTGTCATCTACAAAAATTAAACAATGGTTAAACTTGCCCCCAAATTTGGTACGACAAGTAAGCACTCAACTCTCCCTTTTTTTTAAGTATATATATATATTAAAAATGGTAACTGAACCAATTCAGTGTATTCAGGATCGGGCAGAATGCTGCCAATTAGGTGCTCTTAGGCTCACCCGAATAAACCTTTCCACAGAATGACCCAGTAGGAATGGTGGGATAAGTTCGGCTCCCGAGGCGTCACCCTTTGTGTCCACTTAAGTACCATTCCAGCTTAGACAGTCATTCTTTACATGGTACAGATATCAATTTTAAAACATAAATACAAAAAGCTCTCTCTTTTTTTTTGATGATGATGATGACGGGTTGCCTCCCGTTCAGCGCTTCTTTAACGTCGTTAGCTAGACGCTTTTCTCTTTCTTCATGCCTCCAAGGTTTGGAGGTACATTACATTTTTCTCTCGAAACACATCTCCTCCTTCAAATTTCTTCAGGCGGTGACCATTGACCTTGAATTCACCATTCTTCCCTCGAATTTCTACCGTTCCATACGGATATACCTTCACAACTTCAAATGGACCAGACCAACGAGACTTCAGTTTCCCGGGAAACAACCTCAACCGAGAATTGTACAGAAGTACTTGGTCTCCTTCATGGAACTCCTTGGACTTTTTAATATGCGCATCATGATATTTCTTGACACGCTCTTTGTATAGCAGATTATTGTGGAAAGCCAGCGTTCTCCACTCATCTAACTCGTCCAGTTGGTAGAATCTGTCCCTTCCTGCTGCTGATGAATCTAGACACACATTTTTGAGTGCCCAAAGTGCTTTGTGTTCAATCTCGACGGGCAGATGACAAGATTTCCCGTAAACGAGATGGAAAGGAGTAGTTCCGATGGGAGTTTTATAAGCAGTTCGGAAGGCCCATAAGGCATCATCAAGCTTCAAACTCCAGTCCTTCCGTGTTTTAGCAACAGTCTTTTCCAGAATCGCCTTCAGATCTCTGTTTGTGTTTTCCACTTGGCCTTGAGTCTGGGGGTGGTAAGCAACACCCCCGCTGTGTTGGACTCCGTATCTTTGCAAAGTTCTGGCCAGGGGATCATTCCGGAAATGTGTCCCTCTATCACTGATCAACACTCGAGGTACTCCAAACCTCGCAAACAACTTTTTCAAGAAACGCACCACCGTGCGCGCATCATCTTTCTGACAAGCTTGGGCTTCGGCCCACTTCGAGACGTATTCAACAGCCACCAGAATGTATTTATTTCCATATGAACTCGGGAATGGTCCAACAAAATCAATACCCCAGACATCAAATATCTCACAAGGAAGTATGTAATGTTGCGGCATTTCATCTCGACG